TACCTACTCTCTTGGCCACCTAACCCTGCTCCTGCTTCTTGTACCCTTCTTTCTGTGCCCAAGTTTTGCCACGAGCTCCTTCCTTACCCAAGCAGACCTGCTGTCACCTCCTGATTGATTTCATGCTCTTGGAGATGGACCTCTCTTTTGAACTTAAGAGCTCTGGAGCTTTTTGAGTCCATTTTCTCCATCTAGCTGGAGTTAAAGAAGATGCAAAGGAGTTAGAAACACCATCCTGAGAATGACATGAACCGGGAGCAGGCCAAAGGCAGACTAGCAGAGGAGAGCACACAATCTATTATGGTCCCTCTATGGCTGGCACAGAATGCAAAGCACAGTGCAAGTTCATTGCAAATACTCTGATGTTGCTCTAATATTATACCTAAGAGCTGTTAGTTGTCCCAGACACAAAGGTGGATTGCAGCTCTCCTTCTTTCTTGTTACCTTACATTCTGGTTCAAAGAGAACAACTGAGAGTTGGGGTCTCGGGAGCCAAAAGTCACACTCCCTTTTCTGACCCAAGGCAAGGGGAGGCTCTCCTCACACTTTTAAGCTATTCAACAGCTCTCTTCCTGATTTACTGAGTGTGACTTGACTTCCTGATCCTTGAGAGAGACCCTTGCTATTTCCCACTTTGGTTTCTCTGACCTGCCATGCCTTAGTCTCTCACTGCAGCTTATTCCATTAAAGGTCCAACTTTGCTTCACTGTCACTTCAAGCTTCATTTCCACACTTTTAAAATAATTTAAAAGAAATTACTCAAAGATCTTATCAAAAGGTAAAACATCAAAGACCAACATTAATGAAGTTGTAACAACTTAATGCTGCATCACGTGTTAAGCAGAGCCATAGCCTGTTTAGCACTAGAAAGGTTATTATTAGCAAAAGTTTAAACAGGAGCTTGCTTTGTTTGCCTGTGAAAAAGCACTTATTGAACTCACCAAGCCTCATGCTCCAGGACACCTCCTGCTCACTTATCAGCCGTCTGCAGCTGTACTCCAGGTCTCACTTGCTGCCATAGAGAGGAGAGGAACTGGCCACAGCAAAAGAAATCCCCCCAAGGGCCATCCCAGCACACCATGGCCTCTGACGGAGCCCAGGACCCCAGCACACTGCACACCACACACCTGAGGAGGCACAGCCTGCTTTGGGCTCATCACACCCACCAAAAACACTGCAAGTCTCCCCTGTGACTGATTCAAAACATGGATTGTCCCATATCACCATCCAGATAATCCAAGAAGTCTGAGGTCTGTGGCTCTTGGCCCAAGCAGTTGGCTGATGTTCAAACCTCTACATCCATTAGAACACAGTTCAATCACTGAAAACAAATTAACATCTGCAAATCAGTTTATTAACTATAAACATGCCCAAAACATCCACCCATCTTTCAAGTACAGCAGAAGCAAAGGCTTGGCAGCTTCCTACCCCAGAAACCTCAGGAGTCTCTCACAAACTCTGTTTGAAAGAACTCCTTCAGCTCCTGTCAAGGCAAAAATCACACTTGCTCTGTCTAAATGCACAGCCTGAAATCATAAATCCATGCCCTGCTAATGCAGCCAAGGATGCTCCTCAGTACTTATGTCTTGAATAAAACTGCTATAGGTACCCACCACCTTAGGCTAATTTCGTTTGCATCTCTTTTCACTACTGGTAAAACAGCTTTTTTACTTCTCTGGAGTCATCAAAGGGCTCTTTTTCAGGCTCTTTAGAGCAATCTATCATCTCCAGCTGCCAGTTATTAGTACCTTCCAGGCTGTTTTTATTTCTTCTATAATGAGGCAAATTAGGAAAATATATATATTTACATACACATATACATAAATTAGGCAAATATATATACATGCATACATATATATGTATGTATTTGTTAACAAGGAAGCAAAGGCCTTGTTTGTTAGGCTGTTAGACAAAGCAAGTAGAATTTTTTTTTCCAATGGAAATGCTTTGAAAAAAAATCAGAAAGTGGTTTGGAATCAATATAACTTCCTCAGTCAATCCTGCAATAAATCCAAACCAAGGAAGATAACTGCAGACAAACTGAGTGAAAATTAACTCTCTTAAGAGCTGAAAAGCTACACAACACTTGAGCATGGCAAGAAAAACATTGACCAAATGTTTCAATTATAAATAATTTTTAAAAATCTCTACCCTGCTGAACAATCCTATCAGTTTCCAGCCCCTGGTTTCCCACTCTAGGCTTTGTTCTGGGTCTGCACCCCAGCCATCCCAGAGCTTATTTCTGAGGCAAGTAGCTGTAACCCCACAGATCTCACAGACCAAGGGCATGGAGGGAGGACTCACTGTCACAAGAGTCCTGCCACAGGAGACTGAGTCAGAGAGAAACAATCAAGAGACCAAATACTCTTGACCAGACCAGGTATCAGTGGTGTCCAGGATTCTCACTTCTCCCACACCTCTTGATTATTAGATCCTAAAAGACAGAACTTATTCTGAAGAAGGTCATGCAAAGTTACACCATCACCTCTCTCCCCGCAGCCTGGAGAATCTTTCCTCGGGGGGAACCATTCATTCTCTACAACTACCTGAAAGGAGGCTGTAGTGAGGTGGCTGTGGGTCTCTCCCTCTGGGTGACAGGATGTGAGAAAATGGCCTCAAGCTGTACCTATATGGGAGGTTTAGATCGGTTATGAGAAAAATTTTCTTCTCTGGAAGGGTCGACAGATATCAGAATGAGCTGCCTAGGGAAGTGATAGAATTGCCATCCCTAGAATTGTTCAAAAGGCAGGTGGGTGTTGCTCTTGGAGATTTGGCTTAGTGGTGAACACCACTGTGTTAGGTTAGCAGTTAGACTCAGTAATCTTGGGGGTCTTCTCCAACCTCAATTTCCCCAGGCGCCCAGTTTGAGGGCAAAACTTGTGTGCAGTATTGTTGGGATACTGTTAAGTACAGAGAATGAAGTTCAGCATCCCAATTAACAGGGAGAGCTCACATATGTAGTGCAAGCCATTCACCAAGATTTTTTTTTTCCTCAAAACATACAGATTAACCAAATGGAAGAGGAGGGAAAAAAAACAATGGGAGGATCACACACCTTCATCACAAATTACTTTCCTTTTATTTAATTTTGGTTTTTCTTTCTATTTCTTAAAGGGGTGCTTTTTGTGGCTAAACATATGCATCAGATCTTGCCCAAAGTTTTCTCTTCAAGCTTTGCAAGGAGCCTAGTGCTAAATTATGGCATGCAAAGGAAGGATACTTCATTAGGAGCAAAGCGCAAGAACAAAAAAAAAGGATATCCCAATTTCCTTCTGACATTAAAGGAAATGTTTTGATACACCTTGTACAAATACGTACAAGGTGTACAGATAGGTACAAACACTAGCAGTTCTTCTCTCTACTGTCTCAGATCAGAAACATTCTAAGCTACCATAGAAATAAAGTCTTAATCAGTCACTGATTTATCCTTTTTTCAAGTTGAGTCTTATTTTTAGTTGACTTATAACATATTCCTTTTCTTCTAAAAGAATGTAGTTAAAAGAAACAAACTCAGCTTTCAGAAGGTGCTCTATCCCCTCTCCAAAAAACTCTGTCCTTAAACTCTACAGAACTGGCTACATAAGAACCATGTATCCTTAAAACCAATTTGTCTCAAAGAAGGTAAAAAAAAAAAAGGAGCTCCAATGTGCCTTTTCAAAAAAGACACGTCAACAAACATTTTACTGCCAGCCAAAAGAAAACTCCATCCATGAAAGCTACAAATGAATTTCACATACAACCACAACCCAGCAGTTGTTCCCAGGTCTTGCTTAATGGCATTCTCTGTCCTGCTGGGGCCACTGCATGGGATAAATGACCGAGAGATCAATATGGTCTTCCTTCCCAGCATATCTATACTAGTACAAGTCCTGAAAATAGTGGATATACCAAGTGGATTCTATAATGATGGATAACATTGTATCCTCCACCACACACCTCAGCCCTCACACATCACTTTTGCCATCCAACACCAATATTTTAATCCACAGGATCAGCAAATTACACCACATTCAATGTGAGATCAATATCAATAGAAGGTAGCCCTTCTACCTCCAGAAGGCAAACAATTCAAGATATAATTCCACTTCAGAATCAAAAGTCAGGCCAGAGAGACAAGAAAAAGTGAATTGCACAGCTTTGAAGTTTGTGAAGGATCTACTGGCCCATTTTAAAATACATCATAGGGAAATAAAAAAAAAAAATTAAAATATAAAAAAGGACAAAGTACAGAAAGTTCAGAGCACCTTCCCTGGGTGGTGGTGATCTGGGCTGATATACCCAAAAGCCTACTATTCCTTAGGAATGTCTCAAATTATTGTCTCAAATCATGTTTTTAAATGCTGCCACATCTCTGTAGCAGCCACTGATCTAGCTGGCCCTGGGGAAGTAAATCTTTAACTCTAAGGGAAGAGGCAAACATATTTGTATTAAACATGGAAACTTCTCTCAATGACAAGTGCATTGCCTGAGATACAACATGTAAACAGACATGCCAACACCTTATTGTCAAAATGCTCCTTGGAAAGAATAGAGCAAACTATATGGAAAGAAGCCAGAAAGAGCAAGCTGATTGCCTGAAAGGCAGAGCACTGCAGGAAAGGAAGAGAATAATGCTTTGTGGGAGGGATGATATCATCCCCTACACTTCCCATGCAAGAGTATCTTTATTTCACAGTCAGCAAATTCCCCACCAATTATAAAAACTTTGAATACTCAAAAGAGCAAATACAAGAAATCATATTACCTTGGGAGCAGACAAACAAGTACCTGAACTTCCTGGTCTGCTCAAGAGGAAATCAAACCCCACAGCCAAGCACCCAGATGCAGTAACCCTGGCAGAGGATGTACATCGCAAGCTGTGCACAGCCTCCCAAGCCAGTGACATGTTTGACAGGAGAATACAACTTGGCAACATTGCTTAATCTGCATTTCCAGGGCAGAGCTGAAATTGCAGTTGCACACAGTGCAAACACAGATAATCAAAGGGAGTTCTTCTATACCTTCTCCTGAAGCAGGCCAGCCAATCATCTTCCCTTTTCAAGTGCAGGTCTCTATACTCATGCTCCCTGGGAGACAGGAGAGTAGAAAGTGGCTAAATAAACAGCTCTGCACCTCTTATTGTCTTAACAGAATATCAATAAGGACAATCTGGAGAATTATTTTATCCTTTAGAGTCCTTTTTGCATCAAACCAGGTTAATAAAGAAATAGAACCTCAACCTGTCTCTGTTCCATGGGAGCACATTTCCACAATTACCAGTACTGATCAGTCCAAAAGAAGACAGTCATCTTTTATGGAAAAGCATGACCTGTTTCCTAATGTCCTATTTCTATACCTGACATCTCTGGCTGCTCAGTTAAGCTGTTATGAAGTAGCAGCAACTATTGCACAGGCAAAAACCAAAGCATCTTGATTCCCTGCAATTCTAGAAAACACTTCTATCCATACATGAAAAAATTACTCCAGGAGATATGTTTCACAAAAACAGAACAGTCGGAAAACCCTGCCAGAAGGTAATGTTAAGAGGACCCAGCTACCCAGCATTAACAGCCTGGCTTTCAGAGCTGTTGAGCCCTTTCATTCTGCCCAGGAAAATTTTGACCACTAATTTCTTCTGAGGGGAAAAAAACAGATAAGGTCCAAAACAAATGAAAATTCCAGCTAATCCTTCAAGCACCACCCCTGGTGCCTGGGAAATGGTGGCTGCATACCCTGCTGTGTCAGCTTGAAAGAGCGACACCACCCAAGCATTTAGAGCAGAGGTAACACTCACTGGCTTTACTTGCAACAGCCTTACAGTATTTGCAACTAGCAGGATGAGATTTTTCCTCCCCTTTGCGAAAAGGGTCGGATGTAAACCATTAAGACTGATGAGCTCATTGTTCACAGAGAACAGATTGAAGTGAAGGCAGAATTAGGAGAGAGGTAACTGAGGGCAGGTACACTAAAGACATGTACAGCTGGATACCGAGTATAAAACCAAAATTTTTATCAGCGCCCAAATAAAGAACAATGGAGCAGGTATGGGCACAGCATGAAGAGAAACTCAGAGGTAGGAGTCTCAAGCCCAAAGTGTTTCTTGAAATAACACGAAGTTATGTTCCTTGCCACAGAACATGGGTTGGAAACATTATGGATGCATTTCCACTGGTCAGAAAAAGCTGGACAAAATTACAGAAGAAAATGCTGCTGACAACTAGTAATACAAATCACCTCTCCTTGGTTCAGGATGCCCCCATGTCTCTAATTCCTCTGCCTGGGAGAGAATTCTAGGAAATTACTACTAAATGCCAGGCCTGCTCCTGTACCTTCTGTTGGACCTTAGTGGCCCTCATCAGAGAGAGGACATTAACTGAAATGGGCTTGCATCTGACAAGAGCATTCTCAGGAGAAACCAGACTATTCTAGGACACGGGTCTGGACTATCCAAAGGATGCAGATATGGTACAGTGAAGCAGGCACAGAGTCAAAGCCCCTGGCTCTGTCTGACAGAGCATCCAGTACTGGTGAAGATCCCTTACAAAAAGAACTAACAGCATTATCAAAGAGATTAATATTCAGCTAGTAACAAGTGGAGCCGGACACCAATTGTAAAACATCTCATCTATTTTTAATCTTAGCACTCCTCTTAGCAGTATGAAACAGGGATGAAGAAAGGAAGTAGAAAGGAAAAGTAGGGAGGAATATCTTACCTGCTAACCTCTTCACATCTTCAAACTAGCCTGTAAATGGCAAAAGATGCATAAATCAATTACAGGAGTAAGTGTCACAGAGATGTATTAAAGGTTAGGTCAAAAAAAATCCTGAAACCAAAAGAAATGTGAAATGAAGAAAAAAAAATCCGATACGGTTTGAATAATTTCTCAAAACAACCTATGGAATATCTTTAACAATTTTTGTTTGCATGTAAAAGCATTGAACCTATTCATTCATTTCTGAAACATAACGCCAATTATATATTGGCCAAGTATCTAATCATTCAAAGCACGACAAATCCAAAATGATAAAGAACATTGTTGCTGTTGTTATGATGATCTATTCTTGCTGCTTCTCACATTTTTCTCTTTCTTCACACAGTAATGATACAGATGAAACAGACCATTGTAAATCACACAACTACAAAATGCATTCTCTCTCCCACCCCAGTCTTTTAAGCTTTTCAATTCAAGGTTTAATGCAAAAAAAACAGAAAAAAAAAATAGTTGTAAGATCCTATTGTTAACTCTTAGTACAATGAGCTTGGGAACAAAGTAAGTACAGTGAATATTCAAATGTGAATATTCAAAATGAGGCACTTAAGTCCATAAATACCATTCAAATATGAATTGCAATATCCAAAATGAAGTCCCTCTTCTTCACTCAAGTGTCCTTTGAAAACAGCTTCTGATCCTATTCAGAGGAAATATCTGAAGTGTTGACCTCAATATCTGTTGTCACCTCCTTAATACACCTTACCTTTTTTCCTTGTCTGTTGTGCTCTGGATTTTTTCCTAGTGAATTGGGATTTTATTATTGAATAATGATGAAGGCCTTGATCACTTTCTAAAAATTGTCTGTCAAGTGCACACAACTGGCAGGCAACAAATGCAACTTTGTTACTTAGAGCATAAATCAGTTTTGCTGGTTAGTGTGAAGCCAGAGGAAATGTGTTTTTAATACTTTCATGATCTAATTGCTGTTGCCTGCAGTAGAAGAATGGACTTAATTATCCATGTCTTTTCCACGTATATTCCTATGCCCTGAACTTAGCACGTAGATGATCAGACTCACTGTGGAACCACAGAAATGCAGAAAGCTTATCCTAAACCATCCATCAGGATGGTTCTTACATTAGCTGCAGCATTCTTCATTCCCGCTTCCTTTGCAAACATTATTAATCTGCTTTCACAGGGTAGCTATGCTTAGGATGCTTGCCTTGTTTTTGCAAACACAAGTAGTTCATACAGAGTCTGAATGGTGAATATAATGTCATTCTCTGAATTCTCAGAATAACTTGTCTGAAGATAAAATAAGGCTCAAGTTGTCACAGTTTAACTTGCCACCCTTCAGTTTATGCAAACACCATACTTTAAGGAAAAGAATCATGAACACATCATGAAGAAGAATCACAAAAGAATTCTCACAAACAAATGCACCTGATGCTGCTACCACTACGGCAGGATAGTTAAAACCAGTAGATTTTTTTCAAGTTCATGTAAGTATACATGCATACATATATGTATGCAAACATACATAGAACAATCAAACACTTAACAAAAAAACCCCAAAAAATAGCTTTTCCTTAAACCAGATTATCACCATCTGAAGAGGGTAAATTATACAAAATAAAAATAATAGGGCTAGCACAGATCTATTGCTTAAGTCATTAAAAAAAAAAAAAAACAATTAGCAACAATTAGCAAGTAATAGCACAGACTTTGACCAGAGAAGGCAGTTGTCTCTGCTGTTTCCTCTCCTTCAAAGAAAAACACACCCCAAATAGCCCACCTTCTGTATCTTCCTTCTGTGCTGTACAGGGTTTTGTCACAAGAGCATGTGGACTCAAGGTCTGCTCAACCCAGTGTCTTCTGCCCACCTGTAGAAATATCAGAGCCTTTGGAACTGAGCTGCCAAGGAGGGATGGATAATTCTGCAGTACCACTCCTCCTTTCTGTTCAGCAGAGACCTTATGGGCTGCCCAGGATTTTTGCATTTAAAATCCCTGAACAGACTTTCCTTCTCAAACAGATCCAATCACTTCTGTGACCATGCGAACTGTGGCACCACTTGGTGCACTCTAAGTGTGTGCTGCGTGAGAATGTGCCTCATTTTTGGTTTGATCTGCCACCAGTGAATTATATTTCTTGCCATGTTGAAAGACACTGAGCAATCACTCCTCATTGACCATTTCTGTGACTTTTACACCTTCCCCAGTCACCTCAAGAGTTTGTTTTGCATGTAACACCTCATTTCTACCCTTTGTTTCCACAGCAGCAATGGCCCAAGTGCCTGTTTTAGTCAGGGACAATGTCTAGCATCTGGGGCAAAGGCAGAGCTGGCAACAGCTGGAAGGACACTGTCCATGGATGGCTCCTAGCTATGAAGTAACACACACACACACAAAATTAATGCATGGTCTAAGACCAAGGCCTTTAAATTCAGAAAGACCTTATGTGTTACCTGCAGTGATCTTTCCTACAGAAAAATGCAGTAAGATTGGGTTTAAATGTTGTTTTGTAAAATAAATTATTTTAATTAGGGTGTGATTAACCATTTGCTCTTCATCTTTTTACATTGATATTACCACCCTGTTTTCTTCAGGACTCTATAGTACCTGTCTGCACAAAATGAGAAAAATAGGCAGACTAAAGTATATTTCTGTAGCTTTTCCTTTTTGCCTGTAGTGAAATTTTACACATCCCTTGATGAAACGCAAGGTCACTCTAAGTGGTGTCTACTGTCATTTTCAGACAACAGTGAACAGTTCCTAGGACACTAGTGTTCTTCAGCCCCTCTCACTCCTGCTGGACAGAGAACAGAAGTGGCATAAAAACTCTCTCTAACAGGCATTATTCAGAAACAAATCTTTTCTTTCTGTGCTTTTGAAAATAGGACTTAAATGCTTGGGACATCCATCAACAAATCTACTGGAGACAAAGCAGTTTTTCCTCCACTGCTTCTGGAAGAAAATTGAATAGGAGCTGGTTTTCTTTCCTCCTTACGCTGATGTACCCTTTAGCCACACAGAAAGCCAAAAAAGGCCCCACAACTCTGTCAGCATCACAGCTCATTTTCAAGTTACAGAGAGGGCCTAGATGATGATGAAGGCAAATAAAACCCCATGCTACTGAAGAAGTTTCAACAGAGAACATCTCACAGCGTAATTTGATGAAGCATAAAGAGATGGTCCATATTTAGCTGTGGTAACAGTGGTTTTCCCCCTTTACTCTGCCCTTTTCCCAGCACTAACTTGTTTTCCCTCCCCTTTACCTCCTCCCATCACTGGAGTAATTTTGGGTTCATCTTAAAAGGCCTTGAGGCTGTGAGCAAACAGGATGGGCTTGATCACTATTGATCATTCAAATCAGGCAGCAAAGCAGAACCAGCTGGGGCTGGAACCAACCAGAGAGGAAGACCATGCTCAGACGGTGCCCCAGCATCACAATTTCCCTTCTGAAGGCATTCATCACTCCCTTCCCCTTACTTAACAGAAGGCATGTCATCTGGAATGATGCTGAACTGTGTCTGGCAGAAAATAAAAGAGAAGAAAAAGCTAACATTTTGTGTTTGTGCAAGTGCTTCTGCTGGCATTTGGACCACAGCCAGCCTATTCAGTGCAAGCTTGCAGAGGGTTATGGCGCTGTCTGGGCATTTGATGAAAACTGTAGATCCTCAGAACAGAGGCTTTTAGGTGTGAATTGTGTGTGCTGAATTGCAATGCAGAGTTGCACTGACATTTGGAGCAGAAAACTGGAATTTCTCAGAATTTGATTCCTTTATTCCTCCCCACCTAAACAGGGGTCTTCTGATGTCCCATTAATATTCTATTCTTTGAAAAATTACTTATGTAAGGAGGATGAATGTTACAAATTCACTCCTCTGTAATAGCTACTCTCTCACTTTGAGGAAAAAAAGTCCAGGCTGGATGAAAGTAATCTCATTCTTTTTTAAATTTTGTGTTAGAATATATAGGCAGCATTATCATTTGAACTACACCTACAACGCATGTGAAATTTCTAAAACCCTCACAGACGTAAATGTTTTTCCCCTCTTCAGATGTTATAAATAGAAAATAATTCTCTCTTCTGCTATTCCTAGCATAAAGCCTCTGAGAACTGGTGTCAGATGCAAAGAACTGCAAACCAGCCCCAGCCAAAACACACAGCAGCTACCAGCTGCCTAAGGAGACTGATAATACAAGACTTTACACTTCACAGTCCCTCAGGTTTGAACCTGCCCTGGGTGTGTGACACACTTCAATGAAACAGAACACTTGCAACACATTTCGACACGGGAGAAAAGAAGATAGAAAACAGTTGATCTGCACAGAAGGAGCAGCTACAAAGCCTGCATAGCTGGACAGAGTCAATGTCAGACTTTAAATGTTTGATACAAAGAATTCAAAGTTAACATTTGGGCATTCAAATAAGAATTCACCTTTACAACCCAAAGTGTATTTTACGGTAAAGGATTATAGGTGTACACAGGAAGAAAGCCTTGGTTTAAGGTGTGCATTGGTAGGACCAGGCAATAGGAGTGCAAAGTGCTCAAGTAAGAATTCATAAGGAGATATGCAATCCTAGGAACCCAGGCTGATTTAGGTTCAGAAGCATAAAAACCACCAAAGGATATGTTTTAGAAGAAGCACCAGATATCTAGCAGACAATTTTGGACTGAATATTCATTCATGTGTTTAGGAAACAGTAGAAAAATTGGTACATTGTACCACAGATATTCCACAGATATCCCAAGTATTAAGGGAAGAAACAAGAAACAAACCACTTCTGCTCACTCCCTCACATATTCCAACCTCTAATTGTAATTAGAGGAATCTCTGATTCATATGTATTTTTAATGAAAGTTATGGTAAAGGTACTGTAAAGGTTCCTGTACTGCACCACAGTGTAGACCCTCACTTGTTGGGGAATCTGGGATTTTATCCTTTGAACTTCCATGAGGTTATTTTCACTTACACTAGGGGTCCAGAAGAGATGTACCATTTTTGAGTCTCCTTGTGATTAAAATTGAATAGCCTGAGATCAAGAGAGCTTTGACATCATAGCTAATTAGATACAGTAATTAAAAAAGAAAACAGCAGCAATTGTCTCACAGCATGACAGACACACTGAACACTTTAGTGCGGGTGCTCAGTTCAGTTCTCAGCAGTGCTGCAGCTCATGGCCACTGGTGCCTGCTTAAGTCACCAAATGAAGTTTGACATCACTGACCTAGATCTCAGTGTCAGGAAAGGATTTACAAATTAAAACTAGAGTCTAGCAGACTTGCCTAATAGGCTGGAGAGATCAGTGCTGATCATAACACGATTTCAGCTGTCAAAATGCACGCCCAGAGCTGTCAGGAAGGGTACCTGTTGAAGAGGAACTATACACATTCTAAAGCACCTGGAAACAGACAGGACAAATACCATTTGGGGGTTCAAGATTCCTGTGTTTCAGACTATAAGAGAACATTACTGCAAGTCACAGAAGACCAAGTGTTTCAAAATCATAAAAACAAGAGAAATAATTATGATCAAATCTCTGTGAGAAAATAGGAAGAGAATAAGCAATTGCAAAATGTGCAGATAATTCAAGTGCAGTTGAAGACCATTCTAAAGTGATTAGACTGGAAGTCAATACTTCTGAGACAAAGTCATTTTAGAGGTGACGAAAAATACTTCTTGCTGCACAGCAGAGCGGTTTCTATCAACACCTAGATGTGGCCCAGAAGCATTACAGCATTTAGACATCTCACAATTTTGTAAATACCATAAATCTAAAAAGGACAGAGATATCCCTTCATTCAAAAATTACATTATGCTGAGAATTTAACCAACCAGAAATGTCTCAATTAAAAAAATAAAGTTTTGGAAATGCTCCCTCATTGAAATGTTCCTAGTGTAAATAAAATTTCCATCTCATATTCAGGAAATTTTATGGTTTAACCACACAAGTATCTCAACAGTTTAGAAATTTGCACAGGGTGACTTTGAGCTAGAAATTTCATTTATCTTTAAGAGAGTTCAAGTCAAAACAGATTGGCCTGACCCAAATCTGGGGTTTATGCCTAATTGTTTTTAAAATAAACAATTTGCTCCAACTCATGACAGGAAAAACCCCAAACATCCAGAGTTAACACAGTGAAATCAGAATAATTCTCTATTGCAAAGATGATGTGCATTTCCACTGACTGATATATATGTATTCTTATTTGTTCATGTGTCAAGGTCCTCCTTGAAGACATTTTCGCTTCAAAGAGAAAGTAGAGCATGAAGCTTTGGACAGCACTTTCTCTCCAGAAAACTGAGAAGCAAACTCTACTAGGTAGGTAAAAGAGGCTGGGATATCACCTGTAGAAAATTAGTGACAGGATAATTTTTTGGGGAATCTGAGTTGTGTCTTAACAGAATCTTACACGTTCCCTCTTCTGAGCTTTCCTGGGTTTACACATTTTGATCTTTTAGGACACTTTTGGTACAACTCAAGTGCAGGAGACCATTTTGCAACACTGGAAAGGAGAATGAAAAGGCCATGAGGCTTCTGGCTGTTCTCTCTGTCCATTTTAGACACCACTTTCTCCACCCCAAATCAGTAACTGGGAGAGTTATTTTCCGTCCTGCTCCCACTTAGATGAGCAAAGGTACAGCCAGAGTTTTATCTGCAGTGAGTGAAAGAACTGCAAAAACCATTGATTCTATTCTGGGCTCCCACCACCCCCTATTGACCTTCCCTTCCTTACTGATCACTATAATAATGATATTTTCCTCAAATTTCTTACCATCTGGCAATCAATGACCCAAATCTACAATCAGTTTTGCCTCTGATTGTGAAGGAAGAAACAAAAGGTCAACTGCAGCCAAAATACAGAACTGGTCCAGAAGAGAAGTAAAGACTCATTCTACAAAGCCCATCCTTAGATTTTGTATAAGCCTCACCAGACATCTGACAAAACTCAGGCCCCATTTTTTCCCTTGCAGACCCATAACATTTGTCAGAGTTAAATGGATTCTGGCCACCATCTAGCATTTACAAGCTATTACAAGAAATAACTGGAGAATAATTTGTGTCTGTGATTTACACAAGAGTATAACTTTGCTTTTTAGGATCAGGTGATGTTAGCAGGGTGGCTGTAGGGAAAAAATATGCACCATGTGAGCTAGGAACACAAACCAAAATCTGAAGAGAGCAATTGTTGGAGTACTCTATTTATTCATCTCTGCACAGACATTTTTTCCTCATTAAAAAAATTAACCTTTGGACCAGTCAGCCTGCCTTCAGCTGCTTGTTCCCAGAACAGCTATCTAAAACGAGACAAAACAGGATGAGAAGGTAAATACAGGCAGTGGAATCTCTTTCTTGTCTCTGTTACACAAAAAATGCCAGAGTTACTGTACCTCAGATTCATTCCCTAAAAATAAATTACCTTCCAAAGTGCTCTTGAAAGAAAACCCAGGTCAGTATATCCACCAAACTACAACAAAAACATATTCTGTATCTGCTGCCTCAACACCAGCTGCTTAGAGCCTCAGCTGCTTAAAAGAAAACTTATTCTTTACATTTCTAGCAGAGTTGCTGCCAACCTATCTGTTAGAGAACAAAGCTGGAGAAGAAGTAAAGGATATACACATGAAACAAGAAAATTCAATTTCCTCATTAAAATTAATATTAGGCAGAAATTGCCTCTTTTAAAAGTCCTAAAACCCTAAGGAAATCGCAGCATGCTTTTCGTCTAGCAGAAATAAATTCCTACTTTGAACAGATTCTAATGACTAATTTTTTTTTTTAGCTCATCACGAGACAAGTTACTTTCTTTACTGGTGCTCACCTGCCACTACAAGGTGAGTAGAAGAGCCCAATATGTTGCTGTTGTACAGCTAGAATAATGTAACCACCTTTCCTTTCCCTGGATTTTTGAAGCACTTCTCTATTGATTTTCAAGAGTGTTTCCTATTTAGGATAGGCGCTTTCCCTTTCTGTACAGATGGATAAAGACTGAAAAAAGAACTGAAGGCCTAGGCATGAAGTCAAAAGCAGAATTGAGAACCTGTATATTCATCTGTTTTTTAATTAGTTCTCAGTTAGATGCTGGAACCCACCACCTTGGTTTTACTGAAATTAAATATTTTTTTGCAAAATACACAATTGTATTTGTTTCATTTTATTCAGTTTTTCAATTATCATATATAAGGGTAAAACCAGAAAGGTCATTCTTAAATGGAAAGCAGGAAGATTTTTTTCTTAGAAACATTTTTAATAATGTGAGAGCAAAGAATTCACCACCAAAAAGCTGTTCTTATGGATTATCATAATACCACATATGAAGAAGCTAGAGAAACTTCACTGGCTGTGTGACAATTACCCATACCTTTCCTTTATGCCTCAAATAAATTGCTTCTTGAACCATATTTTCTTCAGCTCTCCCATCCAGGCTTCATGTGAAGTCTTCACTAAGGTAGCACAAGAAATTCAAAGCCAGCTCTAGGTAAAAAGAGAGCAGATTTCAAGCACAACTGAGATGACATGGACACCTGACTTATTCTACTTTGGACTGACCAGACATTTGACTATCCTGTGGCTGAAGAGAAAAGCCACAGAAGCTCAAATGTCCTTTTTAATGCCAAATTTTGGAGCCTCGGGGAATCCCCTGCTGTTCTTCGCAGACTAAACAAGTTCTCAGCAGCACAGTCCAAGCAACAGAAACTGTAGACAAAGGGCTTTTTGGTAAGCCTTGTTTCAGGCCCACAATGTCAGATGCTCATCTATGAAACAAAGCCACCCTGACAGTAGTCCCACGCCACAGCAGCGTGAGTTGCAGCCATCCAGCTCTGTGCCAGAGCAGCTCCGTGTGAAATGCGCACAAGGGTTTGTCAGCTGTGTACACTGACACACCAGAGACGCGCTGTCCTGCTTTGCCCTGCTGCTCTCTGCTTTCAGACTGCTTCAAAAGGACGTGCACAAGGGAGAAGTATGAGGTATGAGCTGCTGGTTACCACCAGGGACAGCTGATATCAGGACACTGGGATTTTATCTTCAACTTTGTCTTGCCCTCTCTGGTTTAGGTTTAAGCCCAGACAAAGGCAGAACTTCTGCCCGAGAAGCATTAGGAAGACAAGTGAGAAGATTCCTTTGTCTGCATCCCATGTAGCATTTAAACTGTTTAACAGAAAATGAGATTATTTACTTCTAAAAGTTGTGATGGATATTAGCCAGCTGTGATTCACTTGGCCTCAGATAGAAAGTTTAACAACTATACAGCCTGTTCAGCATCACGAGCCTACCAAATATTAGGGGCCCATCATTTTCTGTTCTCCTGGAAGCAGCACAGCTCTTCCACAGAAGCCTGAGCATATCAAACTGCAGTCTTCCCCCATTAAGCTTCATTGTTCCTCACATTGCTAATGACAAAAATGACACAGCAAAATACCTTCATATGATATATTTTTAAAAACTCTATTCCTCTTCATCTACAAAAATAAGAAAATTCTTACCCAGGCTTCAACATGCTTTATTTTAAACTCTGAGAGAATATTGCCAAAGGTCATGTTATCTTTAGCTTACTTCACTTGTGTAACAGTGACTAGACACTGAATAAACTGAACACTTGCCCCTCACCACACAGCACTGGCATATGGCTATAGCTGCTCCTGCTAAGGTAAGTTTATTTATCTTTTTAAAACAAGTACAAATGTTGTATTCATATTTCTAGAACCCCATACCTTCTGAGGGGTTTTCTCACAAGCAGCTCTTCTCAGCAGTGTTGTTTCTGCTTCTTCATCAGGGCTCCCCCAAGACTCTCCCTAACCAGCCAGCCCACCCCCTTTTATCCCAGTTATCCTCATTAGCCACAGCTGTCACCCAATTAAGGACATCACAGCTGCAGCCCATTTAGAACAACTAGGATCAGGGCAAGGCCACTTATACAATACATATATTTTACTAGGACTCCTACTATATACAAACACACACCTGAAGGCAGGTATTTCCAGTTATCTTTCACCTGTATATGGCACAGGTTAAAGTGAGAATTTGGTGCCTTCCACATGGCCCTGTTGCACTATAGGCATTGATGGTGAATTTTTACACAGTGAAAAAAGGGCTGTTTAGCTATTTAAACTTGGTAACTCTACAAGCAGGCCTTAGTTCAAAACTGCGGCAGAAACTGGTGCATAAAAAACTGCGGCAGAAATTGCTGCATATTTTGTTTACAAAGTTACTTAATCCTTTTACAGACTATGTCAAGAGCAAAGATTTGATTCTTGTTCAAGTCCAGTCCATCACACTTTCTCGGGTTTTAACATTACTCAGATTTGCTTACATTTCATTTTAGCAATTACTTTCTAAGAAATACCATTTTGAAGATATTTCTCCAGCTTCAGCAGTAAATATAGCTACTCTGCTCTGATGTGAACTGCAAGAGAAAACCTCAGGGTCCTTATTTATTGAGTATCAAAGAAACTGGAAGCCTGTGTCCCTGCACTGCTGTCCCATTTATTGAATAACCCTTGTTTCCGAGAGACTCGGGGACCCAAACAGGGGGCTGGTTGTTGGGCTTTCCCTTACAGCTCCTGGCTGCTTTTAGCCAGATCCTGGGCTCACAGCACTGGGCTGCCCATGCCCATTGAGCCACATTCTTGGCTGCTGGCTCCTTCCCATGCCTGTTTCTATGGCACTTCCTCATCCCCCTCCCACCTGCATCTCTGCTCACAACAACACTAAATGAGAATCTTTGTTTGGGCTCAGGACAGGAGCAGGCTTTTTGATAGAGCTGCCTTTTTTTCCTGGCATGTGGAAAGTAAACACCACACTCCCCAGCTTTAAGCAAATGTTAAGCTTCACCTATAATAGCATTAATACTTACAACTTCGTTGCACACAAATCAATCTAAAGAGCAGCTCCTTCCACCACATCCTGCCTTTGATTTCAGAAATGATGTTTCTGGATTGCATCTGTGCATTGCTGCATTGATACATCCGATCAATCTTTGCCACTCAGATTCTTGCTATAATTAAGACCCTCAAAAGAAAGCTGAATGAATAAAGCATCCCAAATGGCAAAAGACTTAGGTATTCTAGCAATAAACAAAATGTAAGAAATTATAAAACTAACCTGTGATGTGGTTGGAAAAGAAAATGTTTCAGAACATCACTGAGTGAATGAATACTCATCTACTGAATTGAATGCTGTGTGAACCTACCTTCCAGCTACCTTCAAATGTTTGGAGTTAAGAGCATTTAATAGCATTTCATGCAAATACAAATGTAGACATCCCAGTGAAGAACATGAAACTAATTAGCTGAGTTGGTCTGTGTAACTCTAGGCCACAACAGCTTATAATCAGAAACAGTGACTGAAGAGGTTTGACTGGACTGATTAGAAGGCTCCTCCTCAGCTCTCAGCATTTAGCATTGTCACACCCAACAAGAGGTTCATCCTCCCCATGAATGCCTGCTATGGACAGGGCAGCTGTGCTTCACCCCACACTTTAGGCCCACAGCAGCTGGGACCCATTTTGGCCTGGATGTGCAGTCCAATTACAGGTTAAACAAAACATTGAACAGTAACCCCAGAATATGCCCCAGCATCTGCCACTGCAGAGCATCAGAATGGAAATTCCTGGCCCATCCTCACGAGAGCATTATTCCACTATATGGGTTTGTTTGTTTAACCTCTTTTTATTCTCCAACTAGCTTTGAGGTTGAACAACAGGCTCTGGAATGACTCCCCTAGGGACAATGGCTGACCCTCACAATCTGACAACCATCTGCTGAAAGTAAATTTAGGGAAAATATGCCCATACAGTCCTGTCTGGCAAAGAACCACACGGAATATAAGCAATTCAAACCAAACTGAAAAAGTGGCCAAGGAGCCATTGCATTACCTTGGTTTATAGCAAGGACTTTGCAATACAGCAACATAGCTATAATAAAAATCTGATTCTTAATGTGGGAAATATAAAACAAAGCAATAGTATTCCCAGATTTTTTTTCTGAAGCAGAATACCAAGGTTTTTTCTCCTTTCAGGTCATTTAAAATGAATGTCATTATACACAGTCAAGTCTTGGCCACTATAACTAGACCCAAAGGAATTGAGGAAGATCATTGAGTGGAGTGGCAAGACAGAAGGTCATCAAACCAGAACCATATTACTCTCTTGTGACATCTGATGGAGCCATGACAGCAGTTTGGATGCTAGATAACATGAATATTCATCTTTATGATTTATAAGTTACACTGTGACTTTGGAGTGACACTTCTAATGTGCCCTTGCAGTACCTTTGTGACATTCTGGGGAATGAACAGTGCCAGAACTCTGGCATGAAGTATCATCCACTTTATTATTATTATTATTTTTTATTGTGAATCAGCCCCTGCACTTGGAAAAAGATGTAAGCAACAGGCCTGAACAGTAAAGGGATGTACTAGCAGATTTGTAAAAGAAGTCAACAGAATGCTGCTACCTCAAAGCATTTTCCCAAAGAAGCTGTGACCTGCATGTATGCAGCTCTAATAACAAAATCAGAGGTTTCCACAATGAAACCACAGCGAAAACATTTACACCAGAAATTTTCCCTCCTCTGGAGAAGTCTCATTTCAGTTCAGAGGCAGATAGGACAAAAATAATAACTGTCCTGAGTTTCTAAGAGAAGTTTCTTAGAGAGAAAACTTACAGAGGCAGGTTGAGCTGGCAGAGGTCCATCTTGGCCACTCCTGCAGATGTAGTGCTCCATTGCTGAACCTCTGCTTGGCCTGGAACTTTGTCTTGAATAAACAGCGCACCCATAAAAACTAAGATTCACGTTACAGTGTGCCTCTCAAGTTTGGCTACTTTCTATGTGGAGTTCAGAACATTCTATGAAAAATCAGACTGCCAAGGGAGATCTGCTTGTCTTCCTGCTTCAAAGGAAGAAAAACAATAAACCCCCACTCTCTTCAGCGCCGTCCAGCCCCTGACACAGAGGTATGGAAGAGTTACTAACACAATGAGCTAAAGACCTGGGATTATTCACTGGAAGGGGAAACCTCCTGAATTCCTGCATGCTTTCTTCTGGCCTAACGTTATTTAACACAAGAACTTTAACAAAGCGCTGCGGGGCAAAACATGGAATACTTTCGTGAGGAGCTCCGGAAAAGATTTAAAACCTCCCTCCACGCATTTCCTCCCCCCATTATTTCTCCTATCGGCTGTTCGGTTGTTTCGCGTCCCCTCCCACCCGTCCCTGCTCTCTCCCATCAGTGGGTGTTCCCGCGGGGGCCCGGCTGGAGCCGAGGGACGGCTGGAATCGGCAGCGGGACGGGCAAAAAACACTGGCCCGTACGGGGATCGAACCCGCGACCTTGGCGTTATTAGCACCACGCTCTAACCAACTGAGCTAACCGGCCCGCACACTCCGCCTCGAGCAGAAAGCCTGTCCACTCCGTGTGGTAGCAAAGCGGTGTCACTGCTACCGTCAGCCTTCCGGCTCCTGCGGGGCCAGCGCCGCCTGCCCGGGGCTGGGAGCGCTCCCCGCGCCCGCTGTGCTCCTCACACAGACACCCTGCGCTGTTCCCGGGGCAGGGACACGCACACGCGCTTTCCCCGGCGGAGACAGGGAGGCGACAGCGCGGTGAGGCCGTAGAGGTTCCGTCTTTTGTTTTCCGGGCTCCTGGGCCGAGCCCCGGCCGCCTCCAGCGCCGCCCCGAGCACTTAGGGGCTTTGGGCGAGGCCTCCCGGGGCCCTTCCCACAAGGGTTGTGCCATGACGGGGCGAAACTCGGCGCAGCCTGCGGCAGGGCTGAGGATAAGAGCAGCCGCACTCTGAAATTCACCGGGCATGAGGCAGGGCCTGAAAGAGCTTACCTCCCGTGAAGTAACACAAGGAAGAGTTACTCACAATCTCTTTCTAAGCCCTATTTTGTAATACACAGCCAAAGGTTTCTGGTTTACCATGTTCATTTTCGTGGCTTAGACTGTTGTTATAAAAAAAAAAAAATAATCAAGCTTTTCATATACTTGGTCTTCTTGGCAGAACTCATTATAGAGGAAAAAAACATGGGGTATCTATATCTTAGCCTGGGATGAGACTCACTCAGGATCACTAGGATGAGAGTGCACTGTTTTTTGTAGTCCACACTCATCCTTGTGACCACTTTTTTTTTTTTTTTTTGCCTGATTTACACCATCAGTTCCCCTTTATTGCTGTTAGCCCATCTGCTTGGCAGCACTTTCCTCAAACACCCATCAAATTCCCCAAACCTCATTTTGCCCAGCTTCTTCATAAAGTTCTTCATCCCTAGGAGCAAACTGATCAAATCAATTGCCAGTTCCAACCTGTCATTTCTCCTTCCCCTCTTCTGTTTGATGTCCATGAAATAGCAACCAGCCAACTGCCAGGAAGCACATATGCTCTGGGATCTTGATAACCAGCTATATTTTCTGGGAAATGTCATCCTGTGTGACGCTAAACTCACTCAAATATTTAAAAGCAAGGTCACATCTGGAACTTTAGGACAAAGATGACAAGTGAAAAGGCAAAAAGAAAACACAATCACAGAATTTCCTGAACTGGAGGGGATCCACAAAGATCATGTTGGACATTTCCCAAACAAGCCACAGCATAGGTCTGTGCAGGGAGTCTGGGTACTCTCCAGACTGATAGAACAATAATTGGCAGGTGCAGGAACAGCAGACCTTTTTCTGTGCATCTGTCAAATAGATTCTCAAATGGATTCTCACTTTGGTTTTAGGTAAGAAACTATTAGATTTTTTTTTTTTTGTTAGTTGCTCCACAGACATCAAGATAGCAGAGGTGAGGATTAATTGTTTTTCTCGACTTTCTGACCAGAATGTCAGGAGAAGTAGCTCAAGGCAGTAACCTATTGCCTAATTCATAGCTGTCCACCATTGTTTTTGAATCAAATCAGGTCCAATTATGCAATGAAAAACTCAGTGGCCTTTGGCTGTTTCTCTCCTCTACCTCCTAGCTAGGCTAAGCAGACTTGTCTTTTTCAACAAAGTTTAATCAGCAAGATGCTGAATGCAAACCCCTGTTCTTCCAAACCCTATCTACACACAGAAATAACATCCTACCTTTTTAGGAGAGATTCTGTCGGGGCCTGCTGTACAAGCAACAGATTTTCTGTGATTAGACAGTGACAGATAATATAACAGTCCAGGAGATCAATGCTGCCTCCAGGAAAATAAAATTTTCTAATTGAACAGTAAACTCTGCTTTCTCTCCAGGGTGTGGGATCCATACTCTCAAGCAAAGAAACAAACCAGCTTAGAATGAGAAACAGTTATCAGGCTATATACTGAGTATCTGTACTGTAATGGAATTTAGAGGTTGTACAAACAAAACGTTTTCAAGTATTTCCCAGCACCGTTGGTGTCAGACAATTGTGCTTGCAAGTGCTTTATCAAACAGAAACTGAGCTGTAAGGGTTTTGCTAATGCAGGGCCTCAGCTGGACACCTCAACAACTTCAGATTTTTACAGCACATTTAGAAGATCTGTGAGAATGTTCCCCTCATAACCTTCACCGTCATAAAGAGCATTTTCAAAAGCATCCATATTTAACAAGGGCACATACAGACAGCAGGACACTGAAGAACGAAGGTGGCCCAGGTGCTTGAGCTCTGTCTCAGCTCTGTGCAGTTGCCAGTTTCCTCTCTGCCGCAAGTCACCCAGCACCTCTGGCCCTGAGCTCTCCGGCTCCTTTCCATCCCTGGCCCTGCAGTGAGAGCAGTCCCAGCTCTGTGCTCCTGGCTGTCCCCCAGTACAGTGCAGCCTCCCGTACTTTGTGCTGGAATCCCAACAGCTGGGCCCCAGCCTGTTGTCTGCAGAGGAAAAGGATGCTTTCCTCAAACTCAGTACAGTTCAAGATTACAAAGATGCTTCTGCCTCTGTGCCTAAGAAAATTACTTCGTTCCCTTCTCACAGGCAACATGTTGCCAAATAATAGAAGCTTCACACCCCCACTGTGCTGCAGCCTGTATTACACATCACGTGCTGCCACAGGCCCTGCCACCATGAACCCTGCCTCTGTAAGAGAGCAAGGCCATCTTCCAGAAGATATTTAGAGAGAAAGTAAAACACAGCATGCTCATGAGCTTCTCTCTGCCTCTGTCCCTCCCCACGTGCCTGTGCTGCAGTGCACATTAGGTTCTTATAACACACAGACCAGTAAGGCATCTTTCAATGTGCTCTTTGGTCACTGCTCGCTTCCCAACCCAAAATGGATCTGGACCAGCAATTTATCAACAAAGGGTAGCTTTAGGCCTTCTGCAGCCACGTCCTGTTTGTTCTAATCTGTCCTCAATTCAGAATTGACAACTAGCAAGAAAAATCATTAGCTGCCCAAATAAAGGGGCATAGCTAATATTTTCAGTCTGAACACTATACAAGGATTTATTAATAAACTTGCAATTGAAATTTCACTCATAAGTATGCTAATTTAAGTTATTTGCATATGTCTGTGCATCAAAACAGAATAAATACCCATAAAGTTATAGTCAATAATATTTAATAACCCCAATCCTAAAGTAAACATTTGGTGGTCATAAAGTGTTTGTTGAAGTTTTGAATGCTATATTTATAGAATACTATAGTTATAGCATTTTTAATAATAGCTACTGTGAGTTTTTAATAAAACAGTCAAGAGGACTGTTCTTATCCAGCCATTACCAGTGTTCAGAACTAGAAACCTGCAGATTCAAAAATCACATTTGGAAACAGGGCATTACATCCAGTAAAACCTTCACAGTACATTCCTGCTACAGCAATAGCAACAACGTCATGCTTTGAATGCAAAACCCAGTCTTAGTTTTAGCTTCTCTGTGTTGGCCAGCAATGAGTGAAGAAAACCCCAGAGTTCCAGGAAGAATAAAAACCTTCACTTCAGCCACCTAAAGTGAACTATGAGCATTGTTCCTGCAATGCCTGCACACCATCACTGTGCTTATTTAAGGCCATATGTACCACAAGGCATAGAATAGTTTGGGTTTGAAGGGAACTTCAATATCATCTAGCTCCAATTCCCTCTGCCACAGGCAGGGACGCCTTCCATTACACCAGAGCACCATCTAACTTGGCAGGAACACTTCCAGGGATGGGAAGTGTTCCACAGCTTCCAAGTGTATCCACAGCTTCCCTGCATAGCCTGTTCCAGTGTGCCTCAGCACCCTCATGGTAGAGAGATTCCCCTGTTCTCTGACATAGGAGTAAGCTGTCCAAAGGACAGCACAAGTCCCACATTTCTCAGAAGACATGGCATATAGGAAACACCCACATCTGGTACACCCCTTAGCAGACTACAGCCCTAAAATAGTGTACAGCTATGCACATACAGCTGTCCCCTCCCACAGGCAGCACACTGGAATGAAACCCCAATAGTAATGTTCCAGTGCCCAGGCTGCTGGCAGAAGACATGGCTGTAAAGATATTTCTGTCATGATTCCTGAATCTGTTTTATTCCCCTGGAAAGTGTTTTGAGATGCTCTGCAACTCTCAGCCCCCAGCTAACACCAGGCATCACTTTACCATTTGACATGCCACATTAAGCCTACCGTAAGCATTACAGGGGTCACCAGGATGAGTTATTATTAATACCACCTCATTATTAGTGCTGAAATTATTGGCAGCTTCTCCATTTTTCACTAGTGCCTGTTTGCTTTGTTCCTGCTATTGATGGGCAGAATGGATTAGACTACATAAGATTTACATCCAGCTCAAGTGATACTCTCCCACAGACAGAAATAAGAGTTTGATTTTCCCTTTTTTTGTTCAGAAAAAAATTATAAGTTTGAGCCTCATGAAACCATACTTATTCTTTTACATTTACGATGTGAAGATGGAAGTTAATTATTGCTCCAGAGCAGTTAGAAACTTTGTTCTAGTCTATCTGTTTTATAAAAGGTCCATTTGCTGGTGGCTTTCATTAAAATAAAAACCCAACACCTCAGAATGGTAAAAAGACAGTGTACTGTGTGTTTTCACTATAACCTGCTTTCAGGTGAGTATGCTTGACTTTTAAGCAAGGACTGCAGAACCACCACACAACTTCTTGTTATATGCTGAGGAAAGCTGGTCAATGCAGTTCTTTAAACTTGAATATTCAGGGAGGTATGTTTTACAAGCTACTTATATTTTAATTGGAAACAGTCAGGGACATCCTGACCAAGTAACAGGACATCCCTCCCTCCTCACCTCAAAAAAGATAAATTCCGACTTACTTTTTGTGAAGTTGCTGAAATCACTTCCTTCTTCCTCTTTGGTTTTTACCCCTGCTCCCAGCTACAGAGCTTACATAGAAAAGCAGTACACCAGAAAATGAATTTTGCATTAAAGCAAAATCTGCCTCCTATTCAATGAGGCTTTACAAATGAAGTATTTTTTCCCTAATATGCCAGGCCTCTGTACCTTTAGTCTGCATTGCAATACTAAGTGTCTTTATTATAATTCACAGTATTTCCTTGTGAAAAGTCCAATTTGTGATCAGACAAGTGTCCATTAGCCTTCATTCAAAACCACTGCCATAGCAATAATTTTTTTATTAGACCTGTAAAACCTGCTGTTTCTGGCCCTCCTATTCCTTCAGTCCAAGCAGACATCCTCTCTTCTGTTCTGTAACACACCCAGCGGTCATTAAATTTCCA